GGGGAAGATTCTAGAGGCCGGCTGCTCTGATCGGTACTTTTCCGGGGTTTCTCCGATCAACATCAGGCCGAATGCCGGGACGCAATACCAGATTAAAACTAAGGTGGAGGGGCTTTATAGTTGGACCAGACCTTTCACGTATTAGTTTCTTGTTTTTCTTATTATTGTATTCTTGACTATCATTTTGCACATATAACCTGCCACCTGTCATCCTATCAGAGCACCAACCGCTCATTTGTTTTAATTTTCTCATTTTTTCGATTTTCCTTATGTATGGGAATGTCGGATTCCGGATAGCCCGAGATCGCCTTAGCGGATAGCAGTAGTGTTGTGGCGATCTGCGGATCGAAGGATCGCGATTCGAATCCCGCCTCAAAATTTAATGTATTGTCGAATCTCATGTCCCCTTTGTATCTCCTTCATCCTTTTAAATCAATCCCCGCTAATCACTTCGAATTTAAAGAAGTATTAGGTATATTGCCCTGCGCGAACCAGGAAGCCTTGCCAATTCAATCTGGATGTGCCAGTAGGCTACATAAAAAAACTAAGGAATAGTAATCCTGTCCAGATTGGTGAAAAGTTGTGGACTATACGAATACAAATTCGATAAAACAGTAGTGGTACGCGGCATAAGGGGATTGGGCCTTATGGCACATATGAGAATGGCTTAGAACTTGGGTCTTTAAAAAAGCAAATAGAGCAAAAGTATTTGAGAGGAAAAATTCTCAGAAAATTTCGGGTATTAAGCCAAAGTAAACTGAACAAAATTGGGAAAAGAAAAATAGAATGAATGAAATTAGAAAGCTTTTAATACAACATAAAAACATTGGGGATGTAGTAAAATCAGAAAGTTTAGGCTTTGGCTTGCATCAGTCTAAAAGAAATGATTCTAACAGAGGTACTAAACAGAATCACGATTAGTATTATCTAACTACCACGTAAAAACAACAGGCCCGAGAATCAGAGTGGGAAATTGGATCGATGCTTCAGGACCTATAAAACTATGGACATTAATGAACTGGAAGAACAAGTAGAGACAGAAAGGGTAGTCCTAAAAATACTTTAGGCTCAGGGCCAGAGGATCACATCGGATCTTTAGTGCCGGGCAATGAAGAAGAATAGAATAGAATATGCTTTTATATCTTTATAGAGAGTAAAACCAGCGTCGCTATAAGGAATTTTCGTTGAAACATTTTGGATGCCCTTTTTAAGAGAATGGCGTTTATATTTACTCTGTATAATGCAGACATTTGGAAGGCTCTTTTTTTCACTGAAGTATTTTTGAGTTTTCAAGAAATTAATTTGAGCATACGTTTGAAGCACAATGTCCTCAAAATTTCAAATGTTATAAATATTGCTGGATATTGTGCAATTAATAGGGCGTGGAGGATATATTGTATATTTTTTATACCGAAAGAACAGTATGTGACTATAATGTTTTTCCTTAATAAGATTGATTCTATATATAAAAAATAGAATTTAAATCAAGGTTCAATGCACTTGTTTTTCAATGCAGATGAATAATTGAGACAATGTGGATAAAGTATCACGAAGGGCGTCTATCAAGAGGCGCTCCTGGTGAAAATTCATATTGAAAGCCTTCACTTCACCCCACATTCTTCCGTTCATTGCTCATACTACATGGCTGCGTTATTCTTTTAGAGCTTTCGTTCAGAAATAGCTTTGCTAAGACTTATATAACTAGTTTTGACCTTTTTAAACAAAAAATAGCCGAATTAGTCCTTCTCTAATCCTGGTAGTACTAAAAATGTTTGGGACGTGAACTACAATTAACTCTTCGCTGGCGTTCGATCTTTGGGTCTTTATATACAGAAATGATCCAGATGGAAACGTCGGAAAACATTCAAAATTGAGTCTCTTAGTAAGCCATATTTTTAGAATATTTAATTCTAATAAATCTAGTGGGTTATTCGAGTGGTTAGCGCAGATATAGCTCTTAAAAGATTAGAAAGAAAAGAAATCAAAAAGGCAGGTCTATTGTGTAAATTAGGTGATTTTTTTAATTTATGTGTTATTTTTTCTTTCTGAACAAATATATTCATTTCTTTTGTAAATAAACAATTTACATGTTACTGAAGTGGTTCTATGCATATCCAATATGAAGTTTTGCCTAGAAAACATTTTTCAACTTTGGAGTGCCTATTGCGGGTCAACCATTCGAAATATCCACATAGGGCATTAGACAAAATATGCTTACAATTGTCTTAAGAACTTATTTGTGAAGTTTCAACTGTTCCTCCCCGTACATCCTGTATTTTTAACTCATGATTCATTCTTTCACAAAGCGTTTTCTAGGACAAGAGACAATAATACATTCTGTAAGTACATCTATTGCACAATCAAAAACAATTATTAATTTCAATATCTCAGATACAACCACAAATGAAAGCATTTGGTGGGTGAAATGAACCATGAACGTGATCTCTACTATTTTCCGAAGAGTTATCAGCAATTTAATGTATAAAAATATGGCGTAGTGGTCTGAAGTGGATGACGCACTTTCAACGCGCGATAGTTCAATCCCGTTCAAGCGATAGATTAAGCGAGAAATGCTTAAATTAATACAGTGCGAGCATACGCAAGTGATGAATCAGTAATCGAATTAAAATAAAATTTTAAATCGTAAATTGTGAAATATTAATGTATTTTTTTTATTTACCAAAAATGGTCATTGGTCAATTGATTGGAAACTACTTCAGTAGATGATGCTGAAAGCGGTACGCAATATTTTTATACCGTTTAATCTGAAGTGACTACAATGTTTTGAACTCACCGCCATCCGAACAATCTCTGTATATGTTCCCCTTGGTCTTGAAAGTCTGCAGTTGGTCCAGGAGAGCGAACATGTCCTCCAGTTCATCTTCAAGCTTGTCTGGACTTTCGCTGTTCGACATTGCCTCTTTTCACTTCGTTTAGACATTGAATACGAGAATTTGACGCTGTTTATTTCCCAGAAGAACAAACAGCACCCATTGCCAGGCAACGATTGAGATTATTTCTCCTACAATCTGTAATGAATTCCTCTTACGCAAAATCGTTCGGTCATTGCCATATTTCCCAAAAGATTGACTCGCTCAAGGCGAGGATCTTTTTGCTTTATATAATTTGAAACACTGATTACATGCTTTAAACTCAAAAGACAATGTTCCTTGACGTAGACTAATGAAGTTGTCAAAGTACGTGTACCTATGTAAATCGGGAAGTTGTAAATAATAAAATTGTCCGACAACGTCCGGTGATCTGCTAGAATTTTTGCAACACGAAGACAGGATCTACTGGCGTCCTAATATTTTGTTCTAAGTTAGGTAGATATTTACTTCAAAGACAAATTCATCTCACCAAATTATTTATCTTAATTTGAATGTTAATGGTTGCAATTTGAAGACGGTTAATTTTCAGGTAGAATACTTTCGAATTGCTACAATATTCCACTACCAATAGCGGATTTACCGTTTGGATAAATAGGCTACAGCTTGTGTCCTCAGAGTCCAAGAGACAAATTTACTAAAAAGAATTACTACAAAATAAAAAATTATAATTAGTATAATCTCTCTGTATTAAAATGGATGTTGGTGTATAGAAGAGCAATAAACTCCGACACCGTACGACCGATCTTCATGAAAGTTGGCACATTAAATCTTTTTTCGCTCAGATATTGTGTGCCGTTAATTTTCTTGTAACTCTACTAGATGACGCTGCAGAACAAAAGCGCACGTCCTTTTAATTCAATTTCCATTCAACTTCCGCTCCACCTGGTCTTCATTGTTGCTGAGCATTGCCGTGTGACACGGAGAGACACAGAGAGAGGCAGAGACAAAGACAGACGGAGAGAGTCATAGAGACAGACAGATTGAGACAGGCACAGAGAGACGGAGAGAGACAAAGACAGAGACGGAGAGAGAGACGGAGGGAGAGAGACGGAGGGAGAGAGACGGAGGGAGAGAGACGAAGGGAGAGAGACGAAGGGAGAGAGACGAAGGGGGAGAAGCAGTAAGTGAGACGGAGAGAGAAAGGGAGAGGGAAGGAAAAAGAGTGAAATGAAGGACAGAACAATGTCTGCCGGGATCCGCTAGTTTTGTATATAGACGATTGTTATTATGGAGCTGGTGTCGAAAATCCTGCCACCGTGGGGACTCACACCCTGTACCTTCGGTCAGAGGGACTTCAGTGACAGCAATTATTAATGCATTGAGCCACCTAAGCCGGATTTACGCAGGAATATGTGGTATTAGTTTAGTGTTACGTAACGCTGATCATTATTTTCTTAATTTTTTTTTAAATATTTACTGGAATAATACCTTTTCATCAGTCTAATACCGGTACTAAAATTTAAGATATTAACAAGTTAAGTTTTAAAAAATTAAAACGTTACGCATAAATTGTTTTAATGAACGCAAATATTTTTTCAGCGATGGTATTCTGATTGAATTTGTTAGATTACGAAGAAATATTCCACATTGTTCTCTAAGCAACATAAAATTGTTTTAGAATCCAATTGAATTTGCGCAGTAGATTCTCGCCTATGCGTCATCCACGACGGGCTGTAAGAAATCTCGCCAGTGCGTCCTTTCTTCGCTAAAAAATAATATCCCTAACCTTATTACGTGAAGTTAGAATCGCCAAGTAAATCTTACTTTAATTATCATAAATTTTAATATGTAAAACAAACAAAATGAAAATAAAGGGTTTTACTGTTCTTTAAATTATTTTTACTTATTGCAAATGGAGAAGGAGGTGTTTTCTTAAGGGGTGCGTAATTATATATGGGGAGGCTTCAAGCAAGTGTTTCAGGCGAGTTACAAGGGAAGAGGGGATATTCAAAATACTCCAAAGTTGCGTTATGTAATTTATGGACTGTCCGAAACTATATTAATTAGGTACCAGTTGTAATAATGCTTACAATAGTTCTGAAATGGAAGGCGTACATTTCATTTTGCTTTATTATTTATTGAACACTAAAGTTCCGAGAGTATCTTGTAATTTTAAACTGTTATATATATTCCGCTACTATCCTCTTTGTAAATACGAGCCTATTAGTAATTTCCCGCCGTATATTCTAAAGTGCTGTTGGCATTCCTTTTCGCAACAAGGAAATTTGGCTACCCTGTGTGTTACTGCCACCATACGCCCAGCATCCATGTTGGAAACGTCATAAGTTAAAGTCGGTGTTTATGGGAAGAAAATGGTACGTAATTTTGAGCATAAGCTAATTATGTAATACTATTCCTGTAATGTGACATTGTGTGATTACAAGTGTGTGAGGAGACTTCGTATTGTTCATTCAACGATTCTTGAATGGTGGGGGTAGAAGAGCATCTGCACTGAATTCCATTTTGGGGAGGTTAGGTATTCTTTCGTAATTGTATTGCCGGGGTTAACGCACTATCCTAATGTAATCTCACAATAAAGCGATGTTATTTTACTGCAGAGGACTCGTTCTTTGAAAAGGATAGAGACTCCCTTGCAGTCATTTATCAACTTTTCTGTATGTAACATTTTGTGGTCTGAAAGCTTCAGACTGTCTTACATTATTTTCTTTGCACCCCGCTTTCAGTTGTTGTGAATTTAATGACCCAAAGAATTAATATTATGTATTAATTCATGGTTAATTGGAAAGACAGTCAATGGAAAAAAAACAACAAATTGACTAGTTAAAATTCTGCAGTATTATTTAATGTATTGTGATTAACAGGAATTATTTTGCCATATTTCTTTTTCTTACATACTTTCTTTTATTGTACATTCCGAAAATGTACTTAAAATTTAAGAACGTTACACAAAATAAAATGTGTATTGTGTATACTTGTGATGTATGTTTTTAGCCAATGACGCCGCAATTATCACCAGTTGAGGAGCAGGAGAAGCTTCTAGATGAAGCTCTCAACATTGTTAAGTCACAAGCCTTTCAGATGAAGCGATGCCTGGACAAGGCAAAGTTGATGGATGGCCTCAAACATGCATCTACAATGTTGGGCGAGCTTCGTACTTCAATGCTTTCACCAAAAAGTTATTACGAACTCTGTATCCTTACAGTTACATCTTATAAGTGACTTATTTTTATTTTGTAACGTGAATCATTCATTTATGTTTGATACATTTTTTCTGAAATAGCACTCGTTGAAAAAAAAGCCAGAAAGTCTGTTGGCTAGTTAATGTTGAAACCATTTTTTCCAATGGCATGTCCACTTAAACCTCCAATGAGGTTGTAGCACAGAGCCTTATGGGTTTTTCTGGCAGCGCAACACACAAACTGTTTTAAGGTTTCAAATTTTCTTGTAAATTTATTATTAACATTTTTAAAATGAAAGTAGTCCTATTTTGGCAATAATATAACAAACTCATTGTGTATTTACAAATAAGTATCGCTTACATTTTAAGAATGAATTAATTTTTGTGGAAAGTAGATTGAATTGGTAGAATACATATGTTGCCTTGTATGCAATTTAGCGTTGCACTGTTTTCAGAAGCTATATGTTCTGTTTGTTCTTCTATGCTTGTTCCCCAAAAAGTTTTTTTTTTTTCTTCACTGGGCTAAGTTATAGTTTTGTAAGTTTTATGCCATTTAAGTTGGTCTGTTTCAAACACTAGCTGTGAAAGAGAAGAGTACTGCTGTAAAAGACTACTTCAAACATAACTTCAGACATGCCACAGGCCAAAGATCCAAGTAGAGATATGTTATAGGTTAAAGTACAGAGTCCCAAATCCCTTAGAACTGTGTGGTCCAGCCCATGGGGCCATGTGCAGACATCATTAATCAGTTTGTTGGCACTTGGTTGTACTGGATACAAAATATTAATTGAATTTTTGGAGGAAAAATCATGTATTCCTCTTATTGCTTTAGCTTTAAATAACAAGTAGAATTAATAATATTTGTACAACACAAGTCCAGTAAAATATCATTTTTTTGATCTAAAACAAATATTAAACAGATCTCATTGAAAGTGCATCCCCGACCTTGAGACTACCTTACTGAACTAATAGTGAACCTTGATAAAAACTTATTTCAAGATCATCACTGGGGGTGTATTTTAATGATATGGTATTTTATTTCTTTTCACTTTAGAACATTGCTGTTTAGTATAGAAATTAATTTTATGTAATGACAAAAGGTAATTACTGATTTTTATGTCATTTTATTCTTCATTTTTCGTCACTTTCTACTAGCGAGTCATTTTTAATGCATTTTTTGCTGAGTTCGTCAATTTTAGTATCATTTTAATGGTACTTGTTGGAAATAATATTTACGATATGCAACACATGTTCTTCACTGAATTCCTGAGTAGTCTATTCTATTTTTTCAGAAAATGTAATGTCATCCGTTTGTGAGTATGTAGTGTTGCAAGCAAAGTTCATTTGGTCAAAAGGAAGAAGCCTCAATTACATCAGTAACATATACAACAGCTTGAGTTGTTCATCTGAAGTGGTTTTGATCACATATTTTATTGATCATTTTTAGCAAAGTGTTAGGTCATTGAAATCAACCTCCTAATAATCACATTGATTTCTGGACTGTGAAATAACGTGATATATTACATAGTTACTTTTATAATTTGTTTTCTTTAATGTCTCTGCCCTGCACTTTCATATAAGAACAGTTCATTGGCTCTTGTGTAACTAAAGGTTGGACAACAATGCCTTAGAAGATGTTTTGGGAGGTTAAGGAGAAAGGTGCATGGGGAAAAGAAAGTGAATGGCCATTTACTGGTGTACTCACTATAAAATTATGGGAAATAATAAATCTTGCACATTCGGTTCTCGGCTCTTCAGGACACCAACCTTTTAACTTGTGGTTCCATACTGCCTAAGTGAATTATCTACAAAACATTTACTTCGCACACAATGCTTCTTGCTTTTTATAGCACATTACTTTTATGGTTAAGTTGATGCCTAGCTACACTAGTTCAGAGCAGACAAGTACTTTTAGCCCAGGAGTTTGTGTTGCACTTAATTTCTAATTAATTTTATATGAAAATACATTTCTGAAAAATATGTGTAAATCTAATGGATGGTAAATACAGATATATTTTATTTGTTCCAGGAAAGCTTTTATTTTGTCACTTTCACAATCCAATTACGTCCATTTTTCTGTCGCTTTGTATTTCATTTAATAAACACCTGTTTAAAATTTTTACACAGAAGAACATAACTCTCGATCATCGAAGGGTCCCTTCAAAATGACCTAATTTGTCTGAGCAGTGCAAATGACCTTTTGAACAGCTTCCTTAAATTGCACTGTTCCAATCAGGCACATTAGTATATAAAGGCAATACTATAAAAGTGATATGAAACACAAACTACATAACATAGAAGTTATCAGTGAATGAAAATTGTTCATAAAATGATGGTGGAAGAGAAAGTTTCTGTAACAAGAATTCTGAATTTTATTTAAATGATTATGAAAATCAAAAAAATTTGAAGTTTTTGAATAATTGTTTTTTGCAGGATATAGTGTTAATTTTTGTAATTTTATTATTGAATCATTTTCTTAATGTTGCATAGATATGGCAATTACAGATGAATTGCGTCATCTAGAACTCTACTTATTGGATGAATTTCAGAAAGGTCGAAAAGTTACAGACCTGTATGAGTTGGTCCAATATGCAGGAAATATTGTACCTAGATTGTAAGTTCTGTGTTTATTGTTCTTACAGTTATCAGTGTATTAAATTGGAATATGTTAATTGTGTAATCTGAGGAAAAAAGTTTGGATGAACCGCTAATTTTGGAACCTTTACTATTGTCTTGAAATGGTTATAATAAGTTCAGATATAATAAGTGTCATAATATCATTGAATTTAAACATATTGCTTTTCATAAAGGTACTTTATAACCGTCTAAAAATATAATTCAAATTTTTTCAAATAATTTTCATTGAATTACATTTTGTTCATAATTTTTTTCATGTTTTAATGTCATACAATTGTTGCATGAAGTTCAAAGTACTCTTATTCAATATAATTTTGTGAACATGTATTGAATTGACAGGTATCTTCTTATCACTGTTGGTTTGGTATACATCAAAACAAATCCGTGTCTAAAACGTGATCTGCTCAAAGATTTAGTTGAGATGTGCAGAGGTGTACAACACCCTTTGCGAGGTCTGTTTCTGCGCAACTATTTGCTACAATGTACACGTAATGTGTTACCAGATGTTGCAGAAGCAGAAAATGAGAGTGAAGGAACTGTAAGTAGGAAGAGAAGAAATAGCATTCTTTACATACAAATTTTCTTTGATATTACTTTCATACAGATTCTCAATACAGTAATTAATGTCCAAGCAGTACAGAAAATTGAACATAAAATTGATCTTTTTGGAAAGAGGGGGATCCTCATGATTAATATTGTTTGTTATGATAATGATGATTTATTAATTTACTGACAGGTCCGTGATTCAATAGATTTTGTATTGATGAACTTTGCTGAGATGAATAAATTATGGGTGCGAATGCAGCATCAGGGTCATTCCCGTGAGAGAGAAAGGCGAGAGAGGGAGCGTGAAGAATTACGTATTCTGGTTGGAACAAATCTGGTTCGCCTTTCCCAGTTGGAAACTGTTAACTTGGATAAATATCGTAAGGTATGAATGACTAAAGTTCTTACTCAAAACAATTTCTTGATGCAGGAGATGTCTGAGGAAATTGTGCTATAGATTCCAGGTATAAATTTTTTAAAGAAGTAATATTATTCAATTTCAAGTACAATTTCCAAATACCATAATGTTTTAAAAAAATCTGAATTTTTAAAAATTTAAATCTATAACAGATGCATTTTTTTTAAAAATCTTGGATAGTTTTAATCATTCCATTGTATTCTACATAAGTACTCTTTTTTTTCCAATGTTTGTGTTAAGATACTTAATCATACAATTATTTTTTAAGAATATATATTTTATTTCTCATTCTTGCTTGTTTTTAAAGGTAATCATTTATTGTTGGATGAAAAAGTATTGACTGTGGAATTGATTTATTAAATACATAAACCCCAAAACTAATATTTATATTAAATAAAGAGGTCTAGTTTAAAAATTCAGTTTTATTAACACTTACACATAATTGTGATTTTAATAAACTTCATTACACAGTGTGATATTTCGGCTACTTCCTTGTAGCCATCTTCAGACATCTGGTTTCAAGAAAAAATATCTACATTTTTCAAAATTGGATTATAATGGTTTCAAAACATAAGCTCCACATCAGAACAGTGGATAACATAGAGAATTACTTGAAGTTACAATAAACTACCAATATATAAGTGTTAAGTGTAAGTGTTGTGTAAGATTTTATAAATCTGAATGTCTAAAATTAGAAGAGGAACTGTTTTTTATTAATGAGACTATAGACATTTGTCAACCGAAGTGGAAAAATTTATTAGACAAAGTTGTGATTATTTACTGTTGTGTGATTTAGATAAAGACAGAAAACTTGTGTTCTCACAGATCCTCACAGGCAATTGCCAAAGAAGTCTCCAGCATACTAAACTGACAGTGTATGGCACTTTCTAAGTATAATTGCAGCTTGAGTTTCTAAAACTTTTGAAAATTAAAAAGATTTAAATTATTAATGAATGATAATGAATTGTAAATCTTAATAACTCTCAGAGTTTTGAAAATCTCTGTACTACATGTGGACTTTTGTAAATATCCAGTCAAGTGCTATTGCATAAAAACTGTGATTCATGAGTCTGGAGTTACGGATAAAGAATTTTAAAAACTATTCCCAAGAAAGATACCTTTCACTTTGTATGTAGAACAAATACTGTGCATGTGTGAATCATTGAAACCATATTTTCAAGTATTGTTTTTAGAAGAATTATTTAAGAAAGATTTATTTTTTACTATATCTAATGATTTTGATGAGAGTCTATTAAGTGTGAAATGATTGTGTGCAAATTGCCATGGCCATTGCAGTATGATGTTTATCATTATATATTTGAAATTACTGGGGTTAAGGATTAATTAAAAATGTTTGGTTCTTGCACTACTTCAGAACCAAAGAATTACATACTGTGTAATACTTTCAGAATTGAATTCTGATTTGTCCACAGTTTATTTTGGAATATTTTGGAATTCGAAGAAATTTGAGATATAGTTTAGTTACTGGGAATTGACCCCGATTTTTGCTTGCCTTGTCACACTACCAACCTTTTGTATTTTAAAAGTGAAATGTGGATTGATTTAGCCAACATGAGATAACTTATTCTAAGGCTTAACATTTGTTACAATTATTCTTATAGATTGTGCTACCAGGTATCTTGGAGCAAGTTGTAAGCTGTAGGGACGCCATTGCTCAGGAATATTTAATGGAGTGTATCATTCAGGTACATAAGACCATATTTCTTTTTGATTAGAGAGTTAATTCATCAAATATAGTAATCATAAAAGTTGATAATTTTATGCTACTGCTCTTGGGGGTGGCTTATCCATGTTTTATGTTGGCAGGTTTTTCCTGATGAATTTCATCTTCAAACTCTCAACACTTTCCTTAAATCATGTGCTGAACTAAATGTCGGAGTCAATGTGAAGAATATAATAATATCTTTGATTGACCGTTTGGCTACTTACTCACAGAGGGCTGACGACACTTCGTCAGGCATTCCTTCCGATGTGAAACTGTTTGATGTATTCTCAGACCAAGTTGCTGCAATTATCCAAGTTGGTGTTTTGACATTTCATGTTTAATTAATTATCACCAAAATAGATACAATAATTTCATGCTTCGTTGTTTTGTTCTCCAGTGCCGCCAAGAAATGCCTCTGGAAGATGTGGTATCACTGCAGGTTTCGTTAGTCAACTTAGCTCAAAAATGTTATCCTATGCGTGTAGATTATGTAGATAAAGTTTTACTTACCACAGTACACATATTTCAGAAGCTTAATTTGGATAGGTATGTATAATAAGGTGGATTAGAGTAAACATGCAAAAATATATAAAAACAAATTATTAAGTTGTATGAGTTTGAAGGTGGTGTAGTACGATATAATACATATTTTCTCTCATACTATTTACTCTCTTATCTATTTTAGTGTGTAATGTGCATCTTCATTTATTTTTCTAGGGTTGATTACACCAGTCCTGTTTCTCGAGAATTAATGAGACTGATGAAAATCCCTGTGGATAATTACAACAATCTGTTGACTGTCCTACAGCTGCAGCAGTATGCTCCCTTGATGGAATACTTTGACTATCATGGCCGTAAAAGTTTGGCTGCTTATCTTGTGGCAAATGCACTTGACAATGAGACACTAATTCCCACTCAAGAGCAGGTTTGTATTGTCCTCATACCCTAAACATTGGATTGGGAAACTTCAATTTGCAACTGTTTAGTGACAAACCACATTTGAAGATAAGTGGTTCAAGCTGTTGAGACATTTGTGACTTTGAAATTTAATTGTTCTGCTTATCTATTTTTCTCTTTTATAAACATATATTGGTAAGCATAGAACAATTTCTTGAAGTATCAATTTGTAATGGCTTAGTCTGAGTGCAGTGGTGGAACATGCTTTGGTTCAAAGTAGACACTCTTGTTTTAAGTTAAAAATGCAATGAATAATGACTTCTCCTGTAAGCAAAAGGGAAGGTTTAACAAAATACTTAAGATATTTTAAAGCATCTTGACTTTCGGCTTTTATGAGAACAAAGATTTTTGAATAACATTGAACAGTAATTGGTCTAGAAGTGTTTTAAAACCTTACTCCTTATCGTTTTCTGTGCTGTTTGCATTCTGGTCTTATTTAATGCTGAAATTTTACTAAAAATGGCTCATATTCTACTTCATTACGCAACCTTGAAATGTTTTATTGTGGATATGAACGAAAATCTTAATGTAGTAAATCAGTAACACTCATGTGTCAGTCACTCATGGTTAGACCCCTTCCAGCCCACCAAACAAACAAATGAGATGTCATTTGACATGGATCAAATTCTGGGGAGGAAGTGATAATTTTTTTGTGGATCTATCCAGAAGATTCCAAAATATTTCAGATGTGGTTTACTTACTGGAAATGAACCTAATTTTTGCTTATCCTGTCACAGTGAAGTGTGAATTGATTTAGCCAACATAACAGAACTAGTGAATTTGTGTAAGCTTGTACAACATCCATGAGCAAAAAGTGTCTCTTTACAAACATGTTCATAAATTACTTGTAAAGTGCAGTGATACATGTCCAATTTCATGACGAGACTCCAGCTGTCAGCCTATGTAATTAACAAACATTCTTCAACACAATTTCCATAGTAACTTTGAGACTGCAACAAACATTGTGTATATCTAAAACAGTTTTATTAGAAACAAAATGAAACTATAGACATTTAGTACTACAATTCTGAATAGGCAATAGTACAGTGCTCTAAATATTTCTTTTGCCTTTCACAATTTTTTCTGATCCCACTCAATTTATTGTCATTGTACTTCAATCGCCATACGATTGGTAAAATGACCTATGAAAACATACAATTGTATCCTGAATTCCTCTAAATATGTATGATTTTATGGACAACTAAACTGCCTTTTGAGTGTCTTTCAGCACCTTGTGATGCAATCAGTTTAATTTCCATCGATAAGACAAATAGTTTGGTTTAATTCGTAGTCAGTTCCCTCTAGGATGTTCTCCAAGAATGCTAGAAACACATGGGTTTTGTTAGTTATGTGGTATGGAGCATATGCAAGCCACAGGTGGTCATAGAATCCTCTAAAATATGTTGTAGAGGACACAAACAAGTAAGAGAGTTGTTCATTGAAATGAATGTTTAAAGGAAGACTAGTAAAATTGTCTGATTTCAGCAAATGTGTAATTAATTAGATGTTATTATCATAATGAAGAGGGATCATAACTGTCCTCTTTCCAGAATTTTCATGGATTATTACAACTTAATTTATCTGATTGCAGATAATTAAACCTAATTTTGTAAAGAGAAAAAATAACATGATGCTTTTTCGTGCAACTTTCTATGCCTGAAAATGGACAAGCCAGGCAACTGTTCGTTTTTTTTGTTTTTTTTTTTTGCTTATCCTGTCACGCACAAACAATTTTGTAATGTGGAAAATATCTGTTAGGGGCATCATGCCAATTCACATCAAGTATTGTCTGGATTTCATTTCATTGTTGTTTTTTTTAGGTGGATACTGTTCTCACTATGATCAGTCCTTTGGTCCAAGATCAGTCTGATCAGCCTACTGCTGAAGAAGATCCGGAAGACTTTGCCGAGGAACAAGGTCTGCTGGGCAGGTAAGAAATTTGAAACTTTGCTGGAATGTTTTGCTATTTCTTACTGTGGCATCTTAATGAACACTGATTGCTATTATTTTTAACGCTGCTCAAAAGTAAATTAATCACAAGAAACTAAATAAAGACACAATTGTTTATAATTAGTCTTTCTTTTATGGTAAAAGCATTTTATACTCCCACTAGTTCAAAAAGGTTTGTTTCTTGTAGAACTTTTTGCTGTCTGCAAATGCTTCTAATGGCTTTTTACAATCCTATACTGCAAGAACATTGTTTTATTATTATTATTATTTTTGCTGTTTCTGTTTTTGTTTTGTAGTATGTCATTGTGTGTTACAGATTTATTCATCTACTACGGTCTGACATTCCTGACCAACAGTACCTCATCTTGAGTACTGCACGAAAACATTTTGGTGCTGGTGGAAACAAACGTATAAAATACACCTTACCACCAATTGTATTTCAGGCCTATCAACTAGCTTTTAAATACAAAGCACTCAAAGATGAGGTATGTCATTTACAAAATAAGGCCAATGATATACTGAATGATAGTTTTTTATTGTTAGGTTTCAATTTTTTATATTGCTACTCTTAAATTTACTCTAATTGGTTATGAGTGACTGATTACATCCTTCTCTTTAAATCTCTATAAATACTTTTCATGATTAAGTAAAAACTTTAAGTACCTTGGCTGTGACTTGAACTATGATAATAAGTATGATATTGAATCAAAATCATTTGGTTCCACCAATGTGCGGCACAATAAGATGGATGCCCACTAAGAAGACAAGAAAAGTGACGCAAGAAAAATGTGCGAAGTGATGGCAGTACCAGTTTTGCTGTACAGAAGCGAGTCATGGTATTGAGAAAGAAAAGCACTAATGTACAAGCTTCCTTGAGATTAGAAACAAGAGCATCCAGGGAGCCCTCAACATTTTCTCCATATTAGACATTTGGAAACGTTCCTTGTGTACACAATACCTACAAAGGATGAAAGATGATAGGTTCACAAAAGTGACCCACCATTACTGACTACCTGGAAAAGAGACCCAGTCAACAAAGGCAATGATGGAATGAAGCTCAAACTGCCTGTGTGCTCTAAACCTTGCAAAAAAGAAGAAAGTCATTTCTTTACTCAAATTCCCACACACCTTTTTTAGCTGCCACAAGATGTTACACATACGTATTCTTCTGTGGCTTTATTCACAAAACAGCCTTTTCAAATTTTGACTTTCTTGCATACTTACGTGTAGAGAAAGTTATGTAATGCAGCAGTGGAAAATGGTGATTTTACAATAGAAAAACTGTTATTTTGGGTCCCTAATACTGAATAAGTTGGTAATTAATGCTCCTAAAGGTAGTACACTTCTTCCTCTAATAGGTTGTGTAGTCAGAATTCATATTTTGTGGGCCCTAGTTATTGGTTTATGGCCTGGCCATCTATGAACAAAGCTAGCAGCTAAACATAGTTTTTTTCCCCAAAATTGTTATTCACTGATCAATTTCGCTGATGCCGCTCGCTCTTCAATTTGAAACAGATATTTTGACTGTTGGCAGAACATTACATGAAGCCGATGATTTTCAAATTTTCTTCAAAATGGCACACAATTTGTTCTATAATTATATTTTATAGATAGAATAAAGTATTCTTATAAAAAGGGTGCTGATCCAATTTTTGTAGAAGCGCTTGAAATTTGACTTTCTAAAATTTAAAATTTTTTGATGTCTTTGAACCAATTTTAGGGGTATGTGGGCAACAGTGGCGACTTTGAAGGAAATGTTTTTACTATTCTATGGCATCAGATGGAAGATCTTGCATCAGCAAATCTTGCTATGCCCTATACACCCTCAAGCGCCAACATTGAGACACTTCGAACAAAGTATTTTGCACTCACACCTAATGTGGAAGTAATGTGCACTCACACCTAAAATATGGAATAATATTCTGGGGAAATGCCCCTGAAAGCATTCGCACATTTATTATCCAAAAAAGAATATTGTGAACAATGACCAACTCATAAGCTGGGGTCTTGCAAACCCTTGTTTAATAAACTAAGGATTCTTCCTCTAGTTTTTGTAAAAGTTCTGTCAGTCCATGTCTTAATTGTCTGCATAAAATATTGTTTTGATTTGATGTTTACTGTTTAATTGTATTTCATCATTGGTTTTTGCTCTCTTTTTCTGATCATGTCATTAGTGTAGAAACTGAAATGGAGTGGTGAGAGTTTGCATTCTGTTCTTGAACCTCTTCTAGTTTGAATGGGATATGAATTTTAATTGCCAAGTCTTTTCTGTATTTTTGAGTATTCACACGTTCTTTTAATTTCTGTAGTTTTTTGTGTTATAAATAAATTCAAAAGTAATTACTGTACATATTTGTTCTTTGTTGTAGGATGAAATGTGGGAGAAAAAATGCCAGAAGATATTCCAGTTCTGCCACCAAACTATAACGGCATTGATCAAAGCGGAGCTTGCTGAGCTCCCATTGCGCCTGTTCCTTCAGGGAGCAGTTGCTGTTGGTCTTATGGACTTTGAGAATCATGAAACAGTTGCATATGAGTTCATGTCTCAGGTGAGGAATGTTTGTTGATGATTCATCTTGTAACAAATTTTTGTCACAAAAGATTTATTATTTTATATCGATCATATATTTGTATAGTAAAATCTGTCTAAACTGGAACCTGTATAAGCCAAAATTGTGGAAAATTTCTCTGTCCTGTAAAGTTAAACAGCTTTTCACACAGCATAAAATGGAACCTATTGAATGTGGAAACAGAACGGTTGTTCATGTTCTGCAGGAAAAAGTAATCTTAATAAAACAAAATTTTTGTGAATTTAATGCAATTGGCAGAGAGATGAAAGATATTCGTAATGAAATGAATGCGTCTCCAAGCTTGTTTAAAAAACTCTATCCCTGTGACTTGAGATTTAGTCATGGCATCCAGCGTTGAAAGAGTTGAAGTAATCTGAATACAACCGCTAGACAGTAAGGTGTTGTGTATTTTCAACTCAAGCTGTCATTGAAGAGTGTTATTAATTTATTGATGATTTCTTCCATAAAGATGTTATATGGTAATGTATTTTGATAATTATAATAGTCATATAATTTACTACTTTCAGGGCAGAAATATCAATATCACATGTCATAAAATGGACAACCTTGCTTAAAACAAAAACCTGTCTAAACTGGAAGTTTTGTGCATCCCGATCTAATCCAGCTTACGACAGATTTTATTGTATTTTGTTAAAAAGGTTGTGTGCTTACGTTTTCTGTGCTTTTGTTGGCATTATCATCTTCCTCATTTTACATTATAATACATTTTATTTTTAAATAACAAGATCAATGGCCGAACATTTACCATAAAAATACTGACATTTATATTTCATATGTGTGTTATAAAAAATTTGTATGAAAATACAGCAAAACCCCACTTTTCAGGGGACCGATAAAAAAAAGTGTAAAATGCAGGAAAGTTGATAAACGATAGGGTAGGCGAGTAAAAGCATGTGCCGGAATCGGCGATTTTCATCAGAAAATCTATTGACGTGTCCTGGTAATGAAAAAATGGATAAATCATATTCTTATATATAGTAAATTACTTCCTCTAACACGTGATGTAGCCTAAATCCCTGTTTTGGGCCCTTTAAACAGCAAAATTTTTTGACAGCGGTTTTTTAATGGGAGCGTCTAAACCGTCTGCCGATTTTCTCCAAAATGGATATTCCTTGATTGATCTGAACGAACGCGAGACTTTTGCAAGTTTGTTACATATACATGTAGTAATTTACTACATATTGAAACAGGATTTTTCCACTTTTTCATTATCAGTACAAGTTTTTCTGTGGAAAACATGTGTTTTTTTGCCGCAGCATTAGCTTCTCTCTGAGCACTAGATATAAAACTTACGTATACAAGAAATTAAAAAAATAAAATAAAATAAATTTTCAATAAAGACGTAAAAAACGGGAAGCTCTCTTCATATCAAGTTGTAAATTTCGGGAAGAGAATGCATTGTAAATATAGGCTTTTCAATGGGACCAACCAAAAAATTATGTAAAAGGCAGGAAAACATAAAATGTGGGAACGTTAAAACAAGGTTTTACTGTGTGTCTGTGTGTGCATTTTTTTGAAAACCTAAAGAATAATATTTGTGTTTAGTTGTGAATATTGGGCCTGGTTAAAATCCTTAGTAAAATATGCTAATTCAATTTCCAGGCATTTTCTCTTTATGAGGATGAAATCTCGGATAGCAAAGCTCAGTTAGCGGCCATCACACTGATTGTCGCCACTTTTGAGCAAATGGCTTGCTTTGGTGAAGAGAACCATGAACCTCTGCGCACGCAGTGTGCGTTGGCTGCTTCCAAGTTGCTGAAGAAACCAGATCAGTGTAGGGGGGTGGCCACATGCGCCCACCTCTTCTGGTCAGGCAAAAGTTTGGCATCACGTGGTGAAGAGGTGAGATATCATCCGGTGCTTTCAGTCAGTATAGGTGCAATGCAGAAATCTGTTAATGCAGTTCTAGTAAGTCATCTAATCCTGTTTTTTGTGGTGGAAGAATATTATAAATTGAACATATGTTTCATAACATTTGTTTGTAGTTAAATGATTTTCACAATTTGTATCATAACAGACATCCATTTTGGAAAATGCATAAACGGAATATTCATGATTCAGCTAAATCCAATAGTATTGTTTCATCATTTAATTTAATTATTAAACTTGATTGATTATCAGGGAAGTAAATTTATTGCAACAAAACATGTACTTATTTTTTTTAAATATTTGTATGTATTGAAATATTGTGACAGCAAGCTGTTATTCACATATTTCATAATGCTTTAAATATAGTTTACATATTCTTTATTAATTTTATCATAAAGTGTCCAATTTATCCAAAGTGCCCTTGAATGTACTTAAGATCGCTTTATCAATGTAGACTGCTCGTAGCCTGTTCCACACATTTGACCCTCAATTGACAATGAAATTCTCTCTCTTCAATCTTCATTGTCTCCTTCCTCGGCTTCATGCCATGGAAGAAGCTTCATGCCATGAAGAAGACATCATGCCATGAAAAATTATAGAAGCCATTCAGAATTTTATGTCTATAATGTCATTTGTTTCTTCTCTTTTCCAGTGTCACAAATTTTCATATTGTGACACCTCTGTTGGTAGTCATTACAGTGATTTTCTCTCGGGATCCTGGTGGCTCACTTTCTACTTTTTCTAAACATTGTTTGTCTTTTTCATAATACAGTGTTTAGACTACATTGGCATATTGTAGTACAGAACAGAACTAATGTAGGTTATGTAGATTTTCCTTACTGTTGAGTTATGCAGTTTGCCTTTATCATATGTAGCGTGTAATTTGCTAGTTTTGTCACTGTGGTGACTTCAGTTTCCCACTTTAGATCCTGAGTGAGTCATATACCAAAGTTGCTTTGTTGTGCTGCAGTGTTCAGTTTGATTTGAAATGGTAGAGGGTAGTTTAGGGTTTTTCCTGTCAATGTGGAGGACTTTCCATTTCTCAATGTTCAGCGAGAGTAGCCATGTTTTCGACAAGTTTTCCATTGTAATATAATTCTGTAAAGTATAATGATCTATCACTGGGTTTGCAAGTACTATAGTTATGTGTTATCAGCATAGCAGTTCCATCTTATTGTAATTCTGTCACTCAGGTTACATGTGTATAAGAAATAGCATCGGTCCTAAGGCAGATCTTTTGAGATTCTCTGCTGTAACAGTTCAAGATGTGGAAAGTTTTTCTCCGATGCACACTTGGAGTGTTCTATTTGAGGGAATTCATGGATCAATTCTAGTAGTTTGCTTCCGAGCTCCAATGATTCTAATTTGTGAATTAGTCGCTTGGTATCTATATAGGTAAAAAATTGTAAAATATGTAAAATAAAATTTATGGTAATGTTTAAAATTGCCCCAATAACATTTTCAAATATTTTGCCAATCAGACATTAAAATGGTTTCAAAGCAATTGGAAAACTCAACTTCTACAGACGTAATTCAGCACTACGTCTTCACCAACGAATATGAGTTTTAATCCTTTGACTCTGTTTGGTGTCTTTTCTGATCCCAAGTGTAAATAAGGGCTGGGAAGTTTTTGTGGAAATATACTTTTCTTTTTTTTTTCTTCCTTTTTTTTTTCTTTCCTTTTTTTTTCTTTTTAGAACAATGTAGCAAATTAAGCAATTAAGTAGCGTCATTTTCTTAATTAATAATTCCAATTAGCATTTGTGCATGAAATAAGGTGAACTATTGGGTAAAGCGTGTGGGGGTCAGATGTGACCCCAAACAGAATCCACTTCAGTAATGGAGAAACAGTCAAAGGGTTAAAAGTGTATACAAATTTGTTTATGAGAAGCATGTAAAGCCTTATTTGCATAGTCAGTGGTATATCAGTGGGGGCAATAAGGTGACCATGTGCCCCACTTAATCCAAAATTGTTTTGATTTCCTTACTTAGGGGAAGAATGATCTAACAATTAGTAGTAGCCCCATGATGCGCTTGGAAATAGTATATACCCACTCAATCCAAAAACATAATTCACTCAGGGTATTGAAAACAAGTACCACATATTGATTGCATCGCATCTGAGAGGAGTATTCCCACGAAGCAAGTGATGCTGCAATTTCACGAGTAGATTCTGAAAATTACCTCCCTGATGTAAAGGTGAATATTTCTCTTCAAGATGCAGGAAGTGCAATAAGATAATGCCCTGTAAGGAATGTTTGTCAGATTTCAATCGGTGGGCCATATGAAATATAAGCACATGGTTGTGATCACTCCTGTTTCACAAATATCTATCTTTTATTTAGAGTATGCAGGGGTTAAGTTTGATAATTCATAGTAATGGTCTGATAGTCACGGAAACAGTATTATTTTAATTTGTCACAGGAAGACAACATTTATCTGCATATCTGAAATATTCTATTTAGGCACACAAATACATTATAATGTGAGAAAATAAGTAAGAAATTTGCATTACTTGATAAAATAAGTAAAAATGTGTTGTTACACCCAAATAATGTTAAAATATGAAAAGAATAAAAGTCTGTTTAATTCATATAGAATGTCATGGAAACTAAAACTATTTACGGAATGTAGGTTTCATGCACTTATAAAAATATGTATCCACATGAAAATCAGTAATTGGAGAGGTGACTCAGGCATCAGCTGATGTGACAGCAGTCCCTCTGAACTGGAGCTCCTAGGTTCGAGACCCAACAGAGGCAAGATTTTCAACACTAGCTATGTTGAGTTCAGTTGCGGATTGGATAATTCTAACTGCCCACTGCTCTGATCAGTAGTTTTCCAAGGTTTCTTCGATCTACAAATGAATGCCAGAGAAGTACCTTAACAAATGGACTACAAACTGTTCACCATCTTTCATGCATCTTCCTTGTTCTATCCTGTCCCCTTAGTGTAGTGCATGTACACTTACACGCATTACACTACCACATGTGCTGGTCAGGAACTTAAAACTTATCCTGGCTGGAAATACCAGATGGGTCGGCTGCGGATCGTGCCATCCAATGGGTGAAGATCACCGCTACCTCATGGTTAAAAAGCATGCACTATGCTTAAAGGACTAATTACCTTAGCCATTTTCTTGCCCAAAATCATGAATCAATCAATGAAAATCTGTACCTTACTGATTGCACTAGGCCACAAATTTTAACTTTTCTTTGAGCATTGGTTCTCCGTTTGTATGTGGTTTGTTCTCTGGTTGCAGTAAAGAATTTAGACTTGGGCGTTTTGTCACCAATCAGTCATTAGAACCCTTATTATGCCCTTGGTGTGTAAATATCTATTACAATTAATAATGCATAATATAATTATAATAATCAGAACAATAACAAATACAATAATAATGATGGTTTGAATAGGAGATTACTAAAACACATTAATTTTTTGGAAAAAACAACCCTGCAAAATGACAACAGGTATTCATGGAACCAGACATTCCAAATTGCTTCAAAATTTTACAATGTAATAAAAAAAAATCAGAAGCTAGCTGTGAAAATTTTACCTGTGGAACCTATGTGAAAAAATTGAAAAATAAATGATTTTTTAATTTTTGTCCTTAATGCCAAGCAAGTAGAAGGCATTTTGAAGCGTTTGATTTTGAAAATGTCTTTTAGAAGTTAAAAGATCAAATTTCAAATATGTTGAGAAAGTAGGGAAAGTTTGTGCCTGTTATTTTGTTACAATCTTGCCCACTTCTTGTTATATCTGTTTGATGTTACTTCTGCGCAGATCCATGATGGAAAACGTGTGCTGGAGTGCCTGAAGAAAGGAGTGCGTATTAGTAGTCAGTGCATGGATCCTTCTGTGCAAGTACAACTTTTCGTGGAACTACTCAACCATTATATTTATTTTTATGAGAAGGGCAATGATCAGGTTGGTATTTCTCAGTCCTAATCTTTTCCTTAAATTTTTGAGCAGATATTAAGATTTTTTTACTATCAGTAAAGTTTCTGTAGCGAAAGGACCTTGCTTTTCTATTATTTGCAATTGTATGTATTGTGATGAGTGGGTAAATTTTGAGTATCATATTATTAATACTTTCTTCAAAAATTTATTTTTGACAAACTTTTAAATTAGTTCTATTTGAGCAACAATGAATTCTTTCATGCATTGTATTGTTTAATTAAATCATGACGTACATTTTAGTAAGATTACTTCAATTTGGCAAAATATCTGTTTAAATTCAGTATGTTTGGTAATTTAGTTTTCTGTCTCTCATTATTTAATACAAAAACATGATGAGCCTTTCTGTGGAAGTCGATTTAATGTTTCAGAACAGTCCCTCTTAACTGTGAACATTACAACGAAGTGTATTTTATGGGAACTTTTGTTGCAGGTGACTGTAGTAATGTTGAGCCAACTGATAGGTAGAATCCGTGAAGAACTTCCAAACTTAGAGGCAAACGAAGAAACAGAACAGATTAACAAGCATTTCTCTAACACGTTAGAGCACCTTCGCAGCCGTCTCGAGTCTCCAGAATCCGAAGGACTCTCCTATGAAGGCCTAGTACTGTAGCCAGTGGATTGTGCAAAGGTGCCCATCCAGGGTCCTTGAATAGCAGAAGTAGTCACTTGACAGTTGCTGTACTAAGCTGTTTGCTGAGTGCCACCTGTGATCTGGTCAGGTTTTGTAGCAGAGCTCTTGGTAACGTATCTGTAATGTTGTGCGTTAAACAGATTGAAAATATACTTTCTAGGATGTACTTTTTCATAGTTGGTTGTCTTCTCTTGGCCATACTACTTGTCAGTGAGAAGTTGAGCAGGGCACTGTGTGTGAGTGGTGCATCTCATATGCTCTGCACATTAGACGATTGCACTTCAACAGATGACCAGCTTGATGTATGTGATGATAGACTGAAGACTGTTGATGTCCAGATATCTGTATTGTAAATTGTTGGAACATCTGTCAAGTGACACCTTTTGCAAGATTGTATAGATCTGTCTTACTTCGTAGTTAAGTCACCTTTACACCACTGTTCATGACAGGAAGAAGTTGGTTTCACATTCTGCTCAGACATATCAGCGGACAGCACAGTCTTGCCATATTTCAGATTCACTACGAGAATATTTTTCTTCTTTCTGTGTTTTCAAAATGAGTTCATGAAACAACTTACGAAATAGGATGGATGCCACTGTCCATGCTAGTGTGAGATTTTGTTTGTCATCTTCCTGCAGTTAAAACACAGCTCTCTACTGCATCATGTTAAAGTTAATTATTAATGAAACCTCAAAACGTGTGAAAGTATTCACTTTGAGGTGCATCACCATGATCATGTATCATACATGGTATCTTATTCTTTCTGCAAGTACTGGAATTTGTATTGCAGTTTTATAAACATTATGTTCATTTGTGCATCATTATAAGGAGATGCTTTGAACGCACATTCAGTATCAAAAGATATGTAATTTCCTACTTGCTAGTTCTGTTGAACTGATCTTGAAGTGTACAATAACTTCCTTTTTAGCCCATTTTATTATATCATTGGGGCTGGGATCATGCTCATTGATTCATCATGTTCCTAGTCACATGCCAGCCCTATCGATTTAGTGCCACATAAGTTAAAACTTCAGATGTTTTCTCATTGTAATACAGTTCCTTCACTTTGCATTCCTCTAAGTTGCAGCATAAAAATTCATTTTGAAACATTCATGTTCATCATATGAAGAGAAACTTAGATCAATAACAAATATTAGGCAAATCATTAACAATGATAATATCTCATAGATTCAACTTGACACTTGTTTCTGATATACACTTATTTTTATAATGAGAAAATACTTCTTGAAACACAGTACTTTCTGGAATTGTTTTCTTTTCTCAAATAAATGCAATGAAAAGTTATCTGAAAGAAAACTATGGAATCAATGATTGCTGGCTATTTATCTGGAAGGAAACAAGAGTCGATTATTGCTGGCTGTAACAGTGATACTTCCTTCACATCTTTGTACATACTGATACAAAAATTTACCTTGAAAGAAGCTATTCCTTCCTGTAACTTTATTCATACATAAGTGTTATGTTCCTTTTTGTTTTTTGAATGAATGAATGTTCTTGCTTCTGTGCAGTCACTATGAGTGATTTCTTGTTGATAATTGTAATATTTTATTTTCTTCTGATGCTGGGATGAATTAGTTGTCATGTCAATAGATGTACATATTACAGCTGTATATTATGATCCAAGAATTTGTATAGAATGTATTTGTAATCAAATATACTGAATTATTTTATTTTCTGCATCACATGTGTTAAAACTTATGTATTTGATATATTTATATATATATTTCTGTATTATGTAATATATTATAGATTTCTGCTTGTACCAATGAGTAGCTGATTTCAAGAAAAGACATTTGGGTGTATAAAATGAGCATTGGTGTAATGGTGCATGCCCTCACAGTACAAGAGATGCGATTTCTCAGTGGCTGTGACATGGGGTTCTGAAGACGTGGAACATAGACTTGGGTTTGTAGATGTAAAGTGTGATATGAATGAGAGAGTGACAGCAGCCTCTACTGATTGCCTCTTCACTAGAGGTTTTTGGATGTGTTCTGGTGTGGAAGAATGTGAGATGCGGACTGCTGTTCTGTTGATTTGGAAATATATTTTTGAATTTATCTCAATTTTTATGTAAATAGCATTGAACAGTCTTAATAAAGTTCCATGTAATCGTTGACTCTATTTTAATATCCTACTTGTAAGCATGAAGGCAGAAGACAATTTTGGGTGATTTCATGTGTGTTTCAAATTATATAATTGTATTAACTAACCTGTTTCCAGCTGGGGCAGCTCCTTAGTTAAGATAACATGTTTGCTTGCACCACAGCAACATTTTTCCATTATCAAAATGTATTTATTTATATTCTTCCTCACCTCATCCGGCAACACCTAGCAACAATGCGCAGATTTCCAGTAATGCAATTGTTGGGGTTATAACTTCCCCTTTGGTCTGATGTCTAGAACTCGGTACAACTTAATGAAGTTGATTAAAGCGGCACTTCGCACCGCTCTGGTGAGGGTGAAATGCATCGTGGAGAGGATTAGGGAAGATTAGGGGTTCGAGGGGAATCGTTTGGTGGGGAGGGGCAGTAAGCAATGTACATAACCTGGTGCAAGTACGTATCTACAACTTTAATGTCATCTGGCAGTGCATTGTAAACAATTGAAGTCAGTTCACAAATTTAAGTTAAAAGTAAAATCTTTTCTGCTGCATAACTGTTTCTATACGGTTAGACTATACTGATCGTCAAAAAGAAAAATAATGTTTGTTTTAACAAAAGTGACATATAATGAATTAGTTTACAGTTGTATTGTATACTTTTTTAAAAGACTTAATATGTTTGTAACAAATAATGTAGTTCAGCTTCTGGGTCAATGACCCCTATCTCAATAAGGTTTTTGCCCTGCTCCATTGAGCAAATGCTGAGATGGCCCCTTGTTTTGCTTCTGGACGTAAATGTACCTTCACTATGTGCTCGTTTTGTTGAACTCTCCTTTTGCTTGTAGTGGTAAGGACGTGCTGCTATTTTGTTAGCAATGCAGAAAAATCATACTTGCAATTCGTGTACCAATGCAAATAAGTTTTCTATAATTCGGAAACAAAAATGACAATTTTTCAAATATTACTTATCTTGTGATTTTAAAATTTGTTTTTATTTATGTTAAACTTTTACTCATCTATCAACTATTTATAGTTAAAATGACAGGAAGGGATTCTGACTACTCAAGAAAACGTGTGCAGATAATCTTCTTCCCCCTACATCACATACAGTTTTTACTTTTTTTTTCACTAAATAAATCTAAAGCCAAGCGTGGGTGATCTTAATAAATTACAAAAAATACACTACAGAAATATATTTTAACGATTGTGACCTCATGAGTTAGGGGCGGCAATTTCATAGTATCTTGTCGGAGCTCCATTATCAAGTTAAAAGTAAAAAGTAAAGTAAAGTCAAGTAAAAAGTTATCTACATCGTTACAATCATTGTGGCATGCCCCTGTAATTTTGTGGGTCGGGGTAACTGTCAAAGTGGTTAGCTACGTTGCTGTCGTACAGTTAGTCTTGTGCCCTAGTGGTTCTTTGTCATTTGTATTTGAATGTCAAGTGTTTATGGTATGATGATGTGAATAACTTTTTTTAACGCATTCTCCCGGAAGGGATTTTGGCTGTAATTGAGTGGGCGCAAGAACGTGGTTTGTTTGCCACAGGATTTACATCTAAGTGTCCGATGAGATTAGCTAAGCGAAAGGAGTTGTGCGATCGAGTGGAAGTGCAGTAAGAAAGAAGCCACACCTCATTTGTGTGAATGTTCTGTGCGGAAGGGGTCAACTGAGAGATTTGGGCGTTTCTAGAGTGCGTCTTCAAACTTTGCGATGCGTGAAAATCGCCTATCGGTAAGTTTTATTTACTTATTTCAGAGCGCTTAGCATAATTTGAGGGAGGGCTTAAGGAGACTTGTCCATATCCCTTGCCCTCCCTTACTAATGTAATATCAGTTCTACATTCTTTATTACTTTGCCTAAGATAATCGTTCAACTCAAAAACATGATCTGGAGTTGACCACTTCAGTAAAAGTGAATTCTTTGACATCTACAAACAGTTTACCAGGGCAAATAGGGATATTCATATCGGAAAAAAATTGTCTACGAAAATCAAAGAATGAAATCGAGTTCCGAGAATGATAAAAAGGTAAGTAGTTTTAAAGGTGAATCTAACACTATGTTACACAGAAAAATAAATAGCAATGTTTCAGGATAATCATTTTCATTTCATAATCATAATCATTCGTTTGAGGTTGAATGAACATTTTCTGAGCAAATTACAATAATACCAGAAAGTTTTGAAAAATGTATGGCAATTTGTATTAGGAATGAAATGCATCGTTTACTTTTCAAGATATAATATAACACATTGATGTTATTAGTTAATTAACTAATATTAATTATAATAGTTATTTACGATATAAGTGTAAAGCATATGATTTCAATATGAAATTGGAAAATTACCAAGTGAGGTCATTAGACCGAGTATTGAGTATCGTAATCAGATGTTACGCCACGAATATGGTACTTCTATTCACTTCGTAAAAATTTGTTAAATTTAAAGTGAAATTTTGTTCTACTACGCCTTTATTTAGCATTCATACTTTTCTCCTATAAGAATTTTCTAAGAAGAACCTATTTCTCTCAACAAAGATAAGAGTTGAAACACACTTGGTGTATACATTTTGACATGAGTGAATATTTAAGCCCTACATGATTTGGAAATAGAAAAAGTAGCAAATGCTGCTATAGAAACATTGTTACGCAACAAAATGAAAGAAATATGAGCATGAATATTTATTTTTTTTAAAATAGGATGAACAAAAATGGGCTAAAATTTAGTATACGGTACAACCTAAGCAAGTCGTTTAAACCGACACTTCGCGCCGCTCCGGCCAAGGGGAAATCCACGGTGGAGGGGCAGAGGGGTGTTTAGATTATGAGGGGAATCTTTCGGTGGGGGGGTGAGCAATGTGCGTAACTTAGTGTGTGTGTATATATATACATAAATATATATAAAGCAAAACGTGGGCGATTTAATTAAATTGTAAAAATACACTTCTGGAATAATTTTAATGGTTCGTAATTGATCACGATCGTGACATCAAAAGTTAGGAGGGGAGGGCAATTTCACCGTAGTATCTCGTCGGAGCTTCATTACATGGTGGTGCCTAGTAGCGTTGAAGTGATGTTTTTCTGTGTTGGGGTAGCTGTCGAAGTGGTTTGCTAAGTTGCTGTCGTACAGTTACGTTTCTTGCGTTCTTCAGATTCTTTGTGATTTGTGTTTTTGAATGTCGAGTGTCTGTGCTACGATGGTGAGAATGAATATGGCTTTTTTGCTCGTTGCGCCTAATGGGGTGTTCGGCTGTTATTTAATGGGCGCAAGAACGTGGTTTGATTGCTACAGGATTTAGGTGTCTTGTGTGTAAGTGTCCAATAGAGATTGGCTAAGCGAAAGGAGTTGTGTGATGGTTTCGAGTGGAAGTGTAGCAAGAAAGGGGCCACTCCTCGTGTGCGAAAGTGTTCAGTGGGGAATGGTTCGTGCAGCTGGCCAGTTCGACAGCTACCTGGCAGAATATGATTGGAGACGCCTTCAAGGGGGGCAAAAACCCAACTGAGAGGTTTTTGTCATTCCTTGAGGGTGCCTCCAAACTCTACGAGTAGTAACAATCGCCAATCGGTAAGCTTTATTCATTTCTATCAGAGCGCTTAGCGTAATTTGAGGGACGGCTTAAGGAGACTCCCCTTCTCCCCCCCGCCGCCACGCTTTTCTAAGGGTGTACCGTATACTAAATTTCAATCAAAATGTTAACTCTAGATAAGAAAATGTTTTGATTGCGTTCTTTTCTGGCAAGTTAGAGAGAAGGAGAAACTAAGAAGTCTTTGGACCTACTTCTCTATGTTAAAGAGTTCACTATCACTAATATCAATATTGACATCAGTAAGTTTACTCAGTTATTAGCGTTTTTATAGAAAATTGAAAGATACAAGACAAAGAAGTCCAAAATATTTCCAAAAGCAGAGTGGCAAAGTACGTCATTACTTTATCGCCCTAATATAATTAGCGCTTTTTATCGTTTGTATATGAAAAATATTTCTTTTCTTCAGTAATTCATAGAAATATTCTCACCGCTTCGTCTCACTAGAAGTATAATCTTCTGGATATTACTAGAGGAGATATGAAAATTCGCATTTATTTAAATGTTTAAAATGTTCGATACAAATATTTTCAAGTTTTCGAACATAGAACGTCGCAGATACGACCGTAAAACGGATTTGTAACGCCTGCATGAACGTTCCACATTTATAAAAGTAATTAGACATGAGTCTGCAACCTACGTATACAATATGATTTTTATAAGAAATATAAACAACATACAGTAGTAAGCATAATGACGTCACAAAGTACATCAATTAATGTTTTTGCTCCCGCAAGTCATCTTTGTTTTTAGTAAAGGTGGCTTTGTACTTTTGCCATCAGAGTAGATAGATTTGATATATTTTAGTCAAAAACAGTAAAAACGGTATATGGGGGAGAAGATCTGCGCACGTTTTCTTGAGTTCCAGAATCCCTTCTCATCAGATATGAGGCGTACATTGTCTATGTCTTATTTGTAACAATACAACGATGTTTTTGAATTCGTTAAATTTTAAACTAAGATTTCATGCAGTTTTCTATTTAAAAAATAAAATTTAAATATAAGCATAATTACACAAATTTTAATTGGCTTAAATTCTCTAGACAGAACACATTAAATACATAATATAAAATTTCGTTAAAAATGTTAGGGGTCCTATATCTAGTTCTAAGAGTGTGCTTTATCAATACGTTATATATTTATCCAGCTCTGATATACCTCAGAAGGATAAGTCTCATTTCGTCAGTATGTGACTGTTCGTCATGTTGTGAATAGTGGTCGTATTTTCACTTCACTATGCAACCAATTTAATAATTTTGAATACTGCGAGTGGAAATATGAGACTGTAAAGAGAGACAAATATAATTTTTCTTTGAATAAAATTCAACGCATTGTAAATTCTCACATAGGAAACTCGTGCTGTTTATACGGGATGTATTTTTTTACCTGCACACGCAGGGTATTACAGTAATCGTAAGGCACGAGAACCATGACGACAATATTTGCATATTTTCACTCGCTGCTTTCCGAGTGTCACAAATGTAATTGTACATTTAGCGGT